CTGGTAAAGCACACAAGCTTCAATCACGGCGCTGCATCTGACAGTCTGCTTCAAACGACATCGCATTGTGTAGACGAGGCTACACTGAGAAGAAAATCTCTGATCAACTGGCATACAGCTCCGACTTTTGATCCGTCCAACAAGAATGGCATTTATCTGATCATTGAAGATTAATGCAGTTGGCTGCAACCAGCTATGCTTACCACCACTGTCCAGTTTCGTACAGTCCAGTGTACGCAGGCAGGCTTTTAGTGCCTGACAAAAGAAAGTGACCAAGTCCAAGCTGCTCCGTCAATGCCTGCCTTTTGATGGGAAGAATTTAGCAGCAGCAATCATTTAAAAACTGTTGCGCCTCTAAAAGAGGTGATTTGCTTCACTGCCATGGTCCTTTTTCGTTAATAGGTTGCTGCTTGAATTCGCAAAGTGAATTTGGGTGACATTTGTTACCTCAGCTCCATTCTACCCTCTGCTCACCTACAGCTGCCCTTCATCCATCCACCTTGCACATGTTGGTGCAAGTGCGAGGTGAAGTGGCGTAAAACAAACCAAGTGGATACAAAGGACAAGGGAAACAAAACATCGTTACGTTGCGTTGAGGATAAAGTGATGGGTAGAACCAGGCGCAGTGAGTTGAGCTGGTGCCCAGCGTAGCATAATAAATGCATATTTACAATCTCACATTCTTACATGAAACAGGATTGAATTACTTAGGTCGAGTATCTTCCAAACCCAAGCGTAGCATCCATTCAAATAAGACCTCCCTGTGAACAACTTCCTTCACTACCTATAATCACTTTTTTATTCACTTTTGCGCCATCATCATTATCTCAACATGGAGATTCGTATGAATGGATGAAGGAGCCGACTTTGAAATTTTATTTTGAAAGATACTTTGCATTTTTCAAATAAAAATCTGCTTTGTTTAAGGCGCATTCTAGGCATCCCACTCTGCACAATCTCATCCTCTTCTGTTCTTCTTCCATTTGCAATGAGGCCTAATTACCCTTGCTCAGAATACCTACAAATTAACTCATTTCTTCAGGTTGGATGCATAAAGCAGGACAACAAGAGGCGGTCACGTCAACGTTTTACTCATGTAGAGTTATCTTGACAGCAGTAGAGATCGAAGAATGACAAGAACTTGTAGTCGCAAGTAACCCACCACTACTTCAAGGCTTTATATGCAAAATTTATTCCTCCTTTGAAGCTTCTGCGTAAATTTCAACATGACTGGCGCATATCTAAAGCCCACACTCATGAGGCCAATATTCCTCCTTTCTTCTGTATCGTCTATGTGATAATGGCGAAGGGAGGAATTGTCTGAACTAACGCGGCAAACGCAGACCTCCCTTAACCTCCAGCCGGTAACATTCACGACCATGAAGAAAAGTAATTCACTGAAAGCTCAGGTGCAAATTGTAAACAGATATTCGATATTTGTGGCTCAGTGGTCCAGGGGTTTGATTTGCGCTTCAGTTGCGCGAGGTCCCAGGTTCAAATCCCGGCTGAGCCTCCCTCTTTGTCCACGCCGCTTCTTTACCGTGCATTAGGTGCATCTCAACATGCAGCGCGTCATGTGGGGTGTTGTGCTATCGTACGATACAGTTTTCTGCCTTGCGACGCAGTGAGGTGCATTAGAATAGTATAACATTGCCGTATGAAAGGTGATGATACCACACGATAGGACAGGTTGGGATAAGGAGGGTAGGTGCTGTGTATGTTAATCAGCCGCAGGCGTGCTCAAACCGACATGGGCAGCGTGTTGGAGTGAAGTAAATGTGGTTGGCGGATAATTTTAAGGAAGTTGAGGATGTGAATTGGGTGGTGAAAGAGTAGGTTCACCTGCGTGAATTGATCTGCATGTCACGATAGAGGTGGATGGGAGGAAGTGGGTATAGGATGAGCA